GCATGGGGGGTACACTTGGTCTGAATACTTAGGACCATGTAATATTTCAGGAGGTCTGAATACTTTCCGTACCCACTGTATATTTCTGATGCCTGAAACAGAAAATTATATATATTTAACATTTTCTGTTTTGTATAGCAACAACATCACAACAATAGAATGTCTTTAATTCTGCCCAGTAGAATTTCTAAACATTAGTTCAGTGTCTCAGAATGAAGAAATGATTTCCACTTGCCTTGGTCTTGTTGAGCATTCGCTATTCTCTCTCATTATTTCTCTCATTGCACAATGTAGCTTTGTAGCGGCAGCAAAACTTCACTGGCTTCTCTTCTTTCTCTCTCTCTCTCTCTGTATATATATACAATATCCAGCAGCACTTTCGACTCAGGGGAGGACGTGCTTCTCTCACTCAACTGTAATTTGCCAGAGGCTCTGGCAAAGACTTTTCCTTGTCCAACACCCATTATTTTTTATCTTCTCACTTCAGGAAAACAGTATGGTCGCTGGAGGTATTAGCATAAAGTACAAGCTGCCTTGTAATGGAACAGCGAGGGCTTCTCTAATACTGACAGAACAGAGAAACTTATAATGGCACACCATGATAATGCACAGCCAAATGCAGCCCTGAATGAGGGAGGGGGCACAGTGTACCAGGTAACTCCAAATGCCTTCATACATTATAGATTTTGAAAAGGTGCTTTGTTGTCACTCAGCAGTCAAAGAAAAAAAAAAAAAAACTAGTGCTGGCATTTAACTGCCAGATCCATTTGAGTGATAGAACAAGGTTATTTTTAGACACGCAGGCACACATTGTTTTATTTGTTACATTTACAGACTCTCACAATTGTATTTTATGCATTTTAAATGCTGAAAAGTGCTGTTTTCTTTGTTAAAATAAATATAAACATCTTAAAGCATTCTATTCTGCGTGCTGGTCTATTGGATGCATTTCTGGTACAATTTCCAGCTAAACAGAAGGAAGGAAAAACTAGCATTCCAGCAAAACAGTCCGATTATCTGCTTCACAAGACTTATAGACCATTTGAAGACGGGTTTAAAACAGCTATGACCAACTTAAAGGGCAAATGAAGCACTTAGACAAGTTTACCTTATTTTGTACATTGGATTCCACTTTAATGAAAATATATCAAACAAACTCGATTAATGTAACCATTTAGAAGGAAACGGCTTGTGGACGAGCATCACAGAGCTGGTGCAAATACAACAAAGACAGGCATATAAGTGTCTTCAGTTGTTTTTCTTGTGTTAATACCTTACGTTTGATGCGCTGTGGTCCGCTATCTTACGCTACTCCAGCCCTGCCTGATGAGGGGATTTGCATTCAGACTAACGCAACGATTAAAATCATATATGACATCATGCTTTACTATGTCACGTCTTTGTGGATTATGTCAAGACATATTCCCTTTTCAAGTCGATCAACTCAATCTCTTAACATGTATGAAAGATAAAAACCTGCCATAAGAAGAGGTGAAGGGCTGTAGCAGTAAAAAGTGAAAGTACCCGCCCCATTACGTCAGTACCGGACCTAGTTGAAACCACAGGCAGTCAGGCAGCGTAATACAGAGAGTGAATCATTACTTTTCACTGCTATAGCCCCTCACCTCTGCTCATGTTCAAACCAAGATCAGCACGGTTTTTACATCCTCCATACATGTTGAGAGATCGGGTTGATCGACTTGAAAAGGGAACATGTCTTGACATAATCCACACAGACGTGACTTAATGAAGCATGAAGTCATGTATGATTTTAATCGTTGCATTAGTCTGAATGTAAATCCCCTCATCAGGCAGCGCTCGAGCAGGTGGATCACAGTGGATCACAGCGCATGAAAAATACACAACTGAAGACACTTATATGACTGTCTTTGTTGTATTTGCACCAGTTCTGTGATGCTCAATCACAACTTCATGCATTAGGTTAAATAAGGCTGTCCAGTGTCTGTGTTCAGTCCGTTACAATCACAGACAGGAAGTCAGGCAGTTTAATACAGAAAGTGAATCAAAGCGCATCAAATGATCGTTAATTAAAAGGGGAGAAAAGAAAAATAGAATAAATATCTATACTTATAAGACACACATCTGATGCTTGTATTTGCAGCAGCTGCACACCCACAACTTCACGCATTGGGTTAAATTAGGCTTTACAGTCTCCTTTACTTCCACTGTATCTGTTCTGCTAAGCGAACGGAACCAACCCTGTGACGTCAGACACAGCGACATTCCAAGATGGCTGCGCCCTAGGTCTAAAATCTAATGTAAAACATGCCGTTTTCTTCTAAATGGTTACATTAATCGATTTTGTTTAATATACTTTCGTTAAAGTAAAATCCAATGTACAAAATAAGGTAAACTTGACTGAGTGCTTCATTTGCCCTTTAATCCAGCTAAACCATTTAAACCAGTTAAGCTTGACTAGTTCAGTTTAATTGCACAAATGTTTGTTTTCACGTTGGTGCATGTCTTTTGTGCAGGTGTGAATGCAGCAATCAAGCTCAAGTGTGCACCAACAGCAGAGCAAACAAGTGAAACGAGACCTGCTTAAAGAGATTGAAGAGGGGCTTTCAAAGCAACACTGGAGCAGTTTGTTTGTGGCTAGAACAAAATCTGAACTCGAACAGACCCAACTGCAAAATATACTGCTCATTTTTGGACAAAACCAGCTGCCACAATGTGTTATTAGACAAGGGCAAGAATTTGTTAACAGTGCATTAGTAACAGGTTCATGGTTGCTTGCGAATAAAATTTGGAATTGACTTAATATGCGCCTTAGTTTGCTGTGCATTTAAGCATTGTTTTTAAGCTGCAAAGCCCTAACTTCTAGAAATGTATAGTTTGTTCTAAGCTATGGATACAAATTATGAAATATACAATGATCCAGCCAGTCATCTCACCATATAACAAGCTTTTTGTTGTCAGACGGTACTTTCCTCCTTTCTTCATTTACTGAGTATTCACACACATTAATTCTCATTCATTCATTTATATCCTTTTAGCTTAATCCCTTATATATCAAGGTTTGCCACAGCAGAATGAATCGCCGAGTAACACCCATACACTCTTACACCCATACACTCTTACATTCACATACACTCATACACTAACACCAACTAGATTATTCAAATCACTTAGAGCATGTCTTTGAACTGTGTGGAAAACCGAAGCAACCAAAGGAAACCCAAGCAAAAACTGGGAGAACACGCAAACTCCACACATAAATGCCAACTGGCCTAGTTGGGACTCAAACCAGCAACATTCTTGCTGTGATTTGACAGTGCTAACCATTAAGCCACCGTACCACCCCACACATTAATTCCTACTAATTTGAAAGCAGTTCTAGTTTGTTTCAACTGGTTCAGACGAGAGCAATCAGTGTGGTGTGAAAAGAACCAAAAGCTGCTGAAAAATACTGCAAAGTATTATTTGTTGTCCTTGGTCTGGACCAAATGAACCAACTAGTAGACTAAATTCAGCTAAACAATATAAATAGTTGCTTTTCTAGGCTTTAGGATTAGCTGAAAAGTAGGGTAAACCAATCTAAGCTTGGCTAACACTGGGCAATTTTGAATAATTCTTTACAATTGTAGCTTGTCTGACTTTACAACCATGAATCATGAATTCCCATGTCAAAATCTCATCAAGAGTTTGACACCATCTATTCGCAATACGTCTAGTAACCTGCTTTCTGAAATTATACCTCACAGCATTAACAATCTGTAGCATAATTTCTACTTTTAGTTACATTTAGAATATATTTTAAAGTATTATTAGTTGTTTATAAATCACTAGATGGCCTATTACCTCGATACATTACAGAAATGCTTACTTAACACAAACCTAACAGATCACTCAGATCTTTAGGATCATATAAACCAGAAATTTTAAGGGTTCAGTCAAAGCAGGCTGAATTGGCCTTCAGCTACTATACCCCCCTCCCACTGCTGGAATCAGCTTCCAAAAATGATCAGATGTGCTACAACATTAGCACATTCAAATCAAGAATGAAAACGCATCTGTTTAGCTGTGCCTTTACTGAATATGCACTGTGCTGCGTCTAACAGATCGCACTATAATGTCTTTTCTTTATTTTTCATTCTTTTATAATTTTACATTTTAATCTTTTTGTGTCTGTTTTTAATCATTTTTTCTTTGTTTTTATTTTACTTGTTTTACTTATACTTGTCTCTTTTATTCCTGTTTATGTAAAGCACTTTGAATTACCATTGTGTATGAAATGTGCTATATAAATAAACCTGACCTGCTTTACTCAGAACATGTTAAGATTATAAAACTAGTCCTACTAATAAACTAACAAATGTATTTTTTAAATTTCCCTGCAGTGCAAATAAATTCGCCAAATCAGATTTCATGTACTATTGGTTCCAGGTTTAAAGACACATTGCAGGAACGTATCTGAGACAAATCTTCAGACACTACCAAAATGTCATTAGAGGGTAAATTGTATTGTAATGGACATTAACCTGTAGTCGATGAACATGTCCAACCAACAATAAAAGGCCACAGATTTTAGTCTACGATTACAGAAAGCTTCCAAAATTTGTCTCAGATGACCAAGTCATGGCTGAAATTGCACAGTGTGAGGCGGGTGTATAGTAACGCTTGCTTAAACCAGCTGGGAGACCAACTGGCAGTCCAACAAAATTAGCTAAATATCTGCTCGGCCAGGCTGAAAAAGATAAACCAGCTATGACAAATTAAATCACAGGTCTATACCCTCAAAATGCTATAGCCTTAGAAGACAAACATGGCAACATATAGTTTAGATTATGTATGGTAGGATAATTATTTGTAACAAACAACAACGCCTCTATCCTGCTACCGCAACCAACATCTGTTAATTTTTTATGCTCCGGGCCACGTCTAGTATAATTGGCATGCATTCTGCCATGTTTTATGATGTATTAAACATTTAATAAGATGCTTTATAGTCATAAACTAACAGAAAATATGCTACATACCCAAGCGATGGCCATGATGCCTAAAGCGAAAAGACTGGGACCCAAGAGGTTCCACAGGCCGTGTCGATCTAGCTGTAGGGCCATAGACAGAGCCATTGCTCCCAGTAAATACAGCACCTGTAATAGAGTGACAAAGAGAAAAAAATGTTAGCCCAAACATCGAAAACTTATCATTTCTAGAGGCCATAGCGAATCTCCAGTCCAATTAGGGCCATCTTGTAGTGGGCACCCTCTGTCAGACAGCCTGTAAGTACAGTGAGGTGCGGCTAAAAATGTCTCCTTCCTCCATTCCTTCCTCTGTAAAGTTCAGAACAGTTGTGACATGGGTGGTTTGATAAGTGTCTGCAAAACTGTCACATTCAGCAAAACACATTCACAGGTGCAGACACACAATCACCGTGCATATATATATAGAAACATTCTCCCTGAAGGAGAGCTATTGTTTTCTTGTTCTTTTCATTAAAGGCTTTTTTCAGAAGCAGAAGTCCTCTCGCTTCATTTTTCTGGTTCAAAATAAGTCAAACTCAGAGTAAATCTCAGTCTTGCAGACTTTCTCTTTTCTTAAATCTTACTCTTTCCCTCTGCGGTTGAGCAGCTGAAGACTATACTACAGTAAGGGGAAAGTGCACATCCGCACACCTGGAAGTGTCCACCTATATTTACTCAGCTCCACAGCCAAATGTCACCATCATTATGGCAGCACATGACAGACTGCTGACATTCGTATATTTACACTCTGTGTAAGCGGTTTACTGTGGTGGACAAAATTTCTGCTCTCTTGCACATCTTGGAAAGCTTTTTTCTTGGCAATAAAGTCCATGAAAAACTACTGGCCTCTATGAATCACACAAAATGAATTTATAGAAATTGATGACACAAGAAATATCTAGCATTTCCGGGCTCCAGGGCCTTCATATGTAATTTTAACCATCAGCTTGTGGTTCTTATATACAGTTGCCTTGAAAAAGACAATTTTGGACACTGAAAGTACATTTTCAAAAGTTCAGGATCTTTCTTTAATAAAAAGCACATTATGTATACAAAAGCTGCTTATATTTAATCACAAATAGAAAAATAAAAATAGACAAATAGACTATATATATATATATATATATATATATATATATATATATATATATATATATATATATATATATATGTATATTAGTGCTGTCAATCGATAAAAAAATAATGAATTAATAGCACTTTTTAAAAATTAATCGCGATAAATCACTTTCAAAAGACAGAAACTTGTCATTTTGGCTATTCAAATGTAAAATTAATATAAACACAAAACAAAAACTGTTTAAATTTAAAATATATTTGTTTATTAGAATTTGTGTTTAACTTGTAACACAGATTTCTTCATGTAAACAACATACCATAAACCATCAAGATCCTGGCTTGACAGCCATATTTATTACAGAAACTAAAACACAGCCATGTTAATGCCATTTGAATTTCAAAACAATCAATGCCAATAAAGAAAAAAATATATTTCCAAGTTGGATTCTAAGTGGACTGCAAAAACTTGCTTAAACTAAGCATTCTTAAGTATGGCTGTATTTCACAAGGATTCTGACACAACAACGCGAAGCATACGCTTTCGTTGCGTTTAATGAGAAAACACGTTAAACTAAATGAAACTTTTTAGGGCTCATACTGAAAGGCAAAGTCTTTGACAGCTCGCGACCTCACCAGAGATTTTCTGAGTAGCCTACATTTACATAAGACACCAATTCTTCGATTTTAATATGATTATAGACAGATTTATAATATAATATAATATAATATAATATAATATAATATAATATAATATAATATAATATAATATAATATAATATAAAATGAAATAATAATATAAAATGATATAATAATGTAAAATGTAATGTATTTTGCAAAAGTGTTTTATTTTCTTCTTTCTGTCTCGACAGAATTCACCACATTTTTCAGAATTCATTCAGAATTAGCCACATTTTGCATGTTAATTGTTGATTGGCAGTTGTTAATGCACATACATTTTCATTATTTAAAACAGACACTGCACAAATTTAATATCTAATATCTTAAAAAAAAATGGCAGAAGTTCAAGGTTTATGGTAATTGGTTGCTTTGTGAATTTTGCATCGGAGTGATTTTTACCTGTTTGATAATGGACTTGAGTCTGGCCATGGCGATGACAGTGACCCACACAGACATGAGCGATCCGAGGAAGTCACAGAACTGCAGCACGTCATACTCCATGATGCAGAAGACCACAATGCCTGGCTGGTCACAGGCATGATAAAACTGTTCATGGGTGAAGATGAAAACAAGAGGTCAGGAAAAGCATGAATAAAATATGACACTTTGCCATGTTGCTGGTTCTTAAATTTTTATCTCCCACTGATATGCTGAACTGAGACCTGTGATGTGTTTGTGGGTAAGCCAGCAGTTCTTCGAGCACTTACTGCATTAATTAGGCATGTTTGGTCAGAGCTGGAACAAAATTCATTACAAATTTATTGTAAAATATGAATTATGCAACAGTTATTTGCCGTTCTTTATTTTGGTCAGTTTAGTTAACATACATACTAATTCAATCATGATTTAGAAAATATATGACAAGAAAACGTTACTACCTACCAGTACCTTTTTAAAGGCCCACTTTAGACATCACATCACAACTAGAAGTAATTTGTTTACAAGTGGTTATTAGAGTACTAGTAGACTGTCTTTTTAAAGGGGATTCATCATGCTCACTTTGCCCAAACTCATAATAATATTGAGTAACTATAGAGTAGTGCTGCATCACACTGTTAACAATTTCCTGTAGAATCTACAGTAACTTAAGCCCTGGCCAAATCACACAAATTTCTCATGATTTTGGCATGATTTTCTTGATGTAGGGTGTACTTGATGTAGGGGTTCCTTGATCTCCTGGGGATTCGACTAATGGGCATCATGACGCAAGACTCAACTGTTTCTTCTGTAATCTGGCATAGATCATGACAACCGATCCCATGTTTGCGACGCTTCACAACATCATTGCAGAAAGTGTAGCATGTTTAATCTTTTTCTTTTCTGAAACTGAATATTTCACATTAATTTTATTTAGGCTAGATTATTATTTTATTTAACAAAGCAACACATATAGCATAGCAGACTGGTTTTAAAGCACTTCCCTTTTTCTTTGGCGCTGATGTGCTTTCGTTTTCTGTCTCACTAATAAGTCACCCATGGCTGGAAAATATACATTCAGATTTAAAAGAAAATATCTTAAAAATAAGAAGATAATTAAAAAAAGAAATATATGTTTGATCCTACCAATGTCATAACAAATGCCCTTAAATAGTGTAGCCTAGTTGTCAGCAAGCATCAGTGTTTATTGAGATTGAAATAACATTTAAAAAATAAAATTCAGATAATAAATATTGTTAGCAACATCGTGGCTTTGGAAAATAACGCTTGTCATAGAAATCAAAGAATGACTGATCGTGAAGAAACGCAGTTTGTCACCTTTGTTACCCACAACAAGTCAAGATTTTATCAAGACAATAATATACAGTATTGTAATATATCTAAAAGTAAAGATATACAGTATTGAATACATTTACTGTAAAATATGCAGTAATTTTCACAATGTAACTTTGAAATACAGTAACATACTGTATAACTGTCCTACAATAAAATACAGTTCACATTACAGTTAAATACTGGGTAATTTACGAGTGTCATTAACAGTGCTGATATTGCTGTTATTAAAAGAGGGAAACAACTTTGTTAATAACTATTTGACATACAATTAGTCTTGATTAGCCCCTGAGCATACAATCACACTGGTGTGGTTAGAAATTTCAGGGCATCATTGCACCATTAATCTGATGAATTCAAATCTGCTCTACCGCAAATACAAATATTTACTAGCTAGATAAAAAGTGCTTTTTTCTATGGGAGATGACAATAATAAAGGTTTTTACAGATACATTGTACGCTATTTAAAACAGATGCACACTGTTTAGGTTACTAGAATATTTTCTCTATTCTTTTCCCAGTTAAACAGCCTCTTACTATCATGTAGTTTAGGCAAAGTTAATGAACTGATGTGTTGTAAATCCAGCAGCTCTAATCACCTTTGCAGTGCATGGGGCTGCTGCATGTTATGTTATAAACCAGATGTATCACCATTGAAATATAGAAGTGATGCATTCTAAATAACTCACAAAGGTGGATCTTGTAAAGTAATTGGCTGAACAAGCCTTCCCTCAAAACCAAAAGTAATATTTTTTTTTGGACTCATTCTAAGCCACATCATGTATAGCACTGTATATTAGTATATCCCAAAACTTTGCAGGTTCATGTTAACTTATTTTAGTTAAAGGCCCTGATGTACTTCATCTAAAAAAAAAAAAAAAAAAAAAAAAAGTGGCGTGATGTAAGTTTCCATTAAATCAGGCCACAGTTAAGTTAGTTGGGACTTAAGGAGACAGCTTGTTTAAGTTCTTCTCATGAACATCTTTTAAACATTTTTTCCCATTAATTTATCAAACTGATTTGTAAAAACATTATGTTTAATATAGAAAACTGTGTAAAAAACAACCAACAAAAATCTTCAGCTCAGCCAGTCACCCTACTTTTTATACATGAGTAAAAACTTAATAGTCTACTAATATTATGAAGACTTGATTGAGCTATAGTTGCAGAAAGACATGCATTAACATAAAGGGTAACCTGTTTATATTGGATTGGATTGAAGCAGGTCATCAAACTTACAGTGGAAAAGAACATGGTGAAGATATAGACGGATGCCTCCAGCAGGTAATGACTGCGAATAGCGATAGTCACCGGTGGGACAAACATCAGGTTGCTGAGGCACAGAAGCAGAGTTGATAGCAACTGGAAGCCATAGGAATATGCCTCAGTGTTGTCTGTGCAACCCCAGCCATCCCAACCTAGAAAAACACATATCTATTACCGACCACTCCTAACATGTTATAGTGTCAATCTTGAAAGCTTCAGTCTCTGTTCACTACTATGAATCAGTGTGTAGCATGATGACAGATTTGTCTTTTATTATTTTTGAATACACGCATCCCTTTGAGAGTACACTTAACGTATAATATATTTTTCTTCTTCCAAGGAAATGAATGCTTGTTAAGTTGTTACTTGTTTATCTTTTTTTTTTAATCGTTGATGTTTTGGTGATAGCATGTTGCTACTGTAGCATGACTTACCATGTCACTTGCCATGCTTTAGCATGAACAAGCATGTTGCTAGCGAGAATTAAGAGTAGCATTGGTAGCAAAACCCCTCAGTAGCATTTTTAACATTAACGTAGCTAACATGTTTCTAGCTTGAGTTACCTCGTTGCAACTATTTTAAACATGAATTTACAAGTTTTTTTTCATTTCATGTTTCTAACACAACATGTTGCTTGCATGCTTTCAGTATAAAAGAAAAAGCCTAAACAAGCTCTCTTTTCTTTGTATTTGTGTCGAAATAAATGTAGACTTGGTGAGGATCATAGACTAAAAAAAAATAAATATGGATTAAAAAAACAAACATGTTTTTTATTATTATAATGTTTCTAACATGTTTTCAACTCAGCTTAATATGTTTTTTATATGCTTTCAGTATAAAATAATATTAATAATAAGCCTAAACAGCATTTCAACCTGTTTTCCTTGTATTAGTGAGCCTGGTAAGAATCATAGACTTCTTACAATATACTACCGTCCATGTCCTCAAAGCAGAAGAATGAGCCTAAACAGGATTTCAACCTGTTTTCATTGTATTTGAGATCAAATAAATGTAGTCTTAGTGTGAATCATAGACCCCTTAAAAAAAACAAAAAAACATGTTTTTTTATGTTTCTAACATGTTTTAACTCAGCTTAACATGTTTTTTCTGCATGCTTTCAGTATAAAAGAAGTATAATAATGAGCCTAAACAGGATTTCATCCTGATTTCATCCTGTTTTCACTGTATTTGTGATCAAATAAATGTAGTCTTAGTATGAATCATAGACCACTTAAAAAATAAACATGTACAAAAACATGTTTGTTTTTTGTTATAATATTTCTAACATGCTTTCAGTATAAAAGAAGTAAATTAATGAGCCTAAACATGATTTCAACCTGTTTTCATTGTGTTTGTGATCAAATAAATTTAGTCTTAGTGTGAATTATAGACCACTTAAAAAAACATGTAAAAAAACATGTTTTTTGTTTTTTTTATGTTTCTAACATGTTTTAACTCAGCTTAACATGTTTTTGCATGCTTTCAGTATAAAAGAAGTATAATAATGAGCCTAAACAGGATTTCAACCTGTTTTCATTGTATTTGTGATCAAATAAATGTAGTCTTAGTGTGAATCATAGACCACTTAAAAAAATAAACATATAAAAAACACGTTTTTTGTTTTTTTGTTATGTTTTTAACATGTTTTAACTCAGCTTAACATGTTTTTTGCATGCTTTCAGTATAAAAGAAGTATAATAATGAGCCTAAACAGGATTTCAACCTGTTTTCCTTGTATTTGTGTGCCTGGTGGGAATCATAGACTTTCCACAATATACTACTGTCCATGTCCTCAAAGCAAACTAAGCTAAAAATAAGCACACGCGCAGAAAATGCATGTAAAATGAACAAAGGAATAAACATCACAGAAATGCACATGTACTTTCTCCCTCATTCATACATACACACGCACACACACACACAAACACATCCTGTTCCTCATCTGTCAGCTGTTGTAAACAGCTTCATAAATATAGATTGGATTCGGGCAGCCTACTGTTATATAAACACCGTGAAGGAAATAGATGTACTGCACCTCTAACCTCTCATAGAAAATGCCAGAAAACATACCACAAATCTCTCTGATTACGACGCCTTAATTAGCCGAACCACAAACAAAAAATTCCTCAAAGGCGTGTAGTGATTGAAGTCTCACTGAGTGTCGACAAAGACGGTCAATTGAGCTTTAGCAGGCACTCGAGAACAGAGACGAGCGTCACATGTGCGCTGGTATCAGAGCTCTCAGCTGTTTGCCAGAAAACATTCATTAAAAGGGTAAATTTGTCTATGCTAATCACAAAAGAAACTGGGTAGGAATCCGGGGGGAGCAGGGAAACGAGGCACCAGAGCTTCATAATGGCGCTGTAATTGAGAGGTTGTGATTAGCATATTTCTCAGGATCATCAAATGTCCTCTAATTAAAAACCACTTGATTTGTGATCTCACAGTTATAGAGCGACATGATTGGCACATGTGTAATTGAAGCATTTAACATGCCTATTAACTTTGATTGGCATCTGACAGTAGACGAGAAAAATTAATAAATTAAATTATTAAATATTACTGTGATTATCGCTGCATTAACCGCAGGGGGAGGAATATTGACTTATTTACTTTGTTAAATGACACAGGATTTCTGCTCCTTTATTGCAATGAAATAAAATAATTCTAGGAGTTTTCAAACGTGTCATTTTATAAGTGCAGTAAACAGAAATTCTATTAATATCTTCTATTAGTCATTTTGGGACTACTGATTTTGATTTAAATTAATATTTAACAAACATTCAAAGGTCTTTTTAAAAAAATACACTTTCTATTTATTAAAGAATCTATTAAAAGTAATAAATACATGAACTATACACATATTAAAGAATCCTGAAAATTCCCTTTACATCTACTGTCTGTTTCCGCTTTAAAATTAAAATATTGTTCAACATTCATTCATTTCAACATTCAGAATAAAATTTATATATATATATATATATATATATATATATATATATATATATATATATATAGATATATATAAAATGAAGTGTTGTCTGAAATTTTCCTCTAAAATGTAAATTTTTTCTCAGTCTCCTATGTTTGTGCTCAGTCATTTAACTTTGAAAAATGAAAATTATCCTATTCTCTGCACTAAGAGTAATATTAATGAAACTATACACAATAGCCTGAGAATAATGCTAGTTTTAGATGAAGAAATCAGCATATCACAATGATTTCTATTCTATTTTCTAATGTTTTAGGGTGATAGCTGCTATAAAAAAGGCTTTTTGAAAAATACATATTTTATTGTGGCTTTTATTTTGATGCAGCATTGGTCAGCCTAACAAACTTCTTCTAACCCAGTGGTCCTCAATTCCGGTTCTCGGGCTCCCCCGCTCTGCACATTTTGCGTATCTCACTACTTACACCTGATTCAGATCACCAACTTTAACAGCTAGATCCATGAACTGATCCTTGTGTGTCAAATATAAAAGGCCTGCAAAATGTGCAGGGTGGGGGGCACGAGAACCGGAATTGAGAACTACTGTTATAACCTAATATTAAAAATCATATCAACCTTAACTTTTGAATTATAGAGTAATTTTTGTATAAATGCAAAAATGAACCTAAGAGTCTCTAAATCAAGCCTTATGGATAAACACAAAGAAATGTACCATGACTGAGCTCTCAGCGACCTTTGCCAATTCCACTCCCCACTCAGCTTTCATACAATATCCCTACTGTCCTTTAAAACAAAGGATGAAAAAACAAATAAATACACAAATAGATCAAAAGGCAAAGGCTGAAAATGTGTTAAAAAATTGGATTTCTGTATTCTGACCAAAGGTGACACAGTGGCTCAGTGGCTAGCACTGTTGCCTCACAGCAAGAAGGTTGCTGGTTTCAGTCCCAGCTGGACAAGTTGGCATTTCTCTGTTAAGTTTGCATGTTCTCCCCATGTTTGTGTGGTGTTTGTTGAGTGCTCTAGTTTTCCCCACAGTCCAAAGTCATGTGGTACAGGTGAATTGAATCAACTAAACAGCCGTAGTGTATGTGTGTGAATGAGTGTATATAGTTGTTTCCCAGTACTGGGTTGCGGCTGGAAGGGCAGCCGCTGTGTAAAACATAGGCTGGATAAGTTGGCTGTTTTTTCCGCTGTGGCCACCCCTGATGCATACAGTGACCAAGCTGAAGGAAAATGAATGAATGAATATTCTGAACAAACACTATCTTGAACAGTATAACTGAAACTTAAATTCCCTTAAATGAAAAGTGCTTTGCCATGACTTGAGCATGTGAACATAAACAAATACAACTTCGTACACACACCAGCAAATTCAAGGACAGTCCATCGTATTTTTCTTCACAAATTTATGACTCATGTCCACTCTTTAAAAAACCTTTCTTTTCTAGCATGAATAACATTTTGATCATCTAAATAACTTTTTTCCAGTTTAATGGTGAAAGGTTCTTCTGAAGCATCAATGCCAGGAAAGAAGCTTAATTTAGGAGAGCACACACCACTCATTTTACAATAGAGAACACATGTATGAAGAAATTGTCTTACCTGCTTTGCACTCGCATGCAGCGTACAGGTAGTTGTTGGTGCGCAGAAGTTTGCACTGGCCATAAGTGCCACAGTCATTGATGCAGGGCGTCAGGTAAGAGCGAAGGTAAACCTCGGCTGTTACATTAGTGCACATCTCAAACCTATGGAAAATCACAGAGATGACAAGGAGTTACGATTGGAAGATTTTGGAGACCAAACTAATGAAAAAAATCTGAAAATTCTCAGAGCATTTGGTGAATTCTGTGTTTGCAGTGAAATGAATAGCGACTGATGCTTTTAACATAGCAAACGCACTTTAGATTTGCGTAAGAAAGTAACTGAAATTAGAGATGCTATCTCCTGTGTTGTGTTTTTCATACAGAGCTATGGCTTTCTGAAAAATTACAGTGGGGTATAGTAGGGTGGGCATTTTGCTTTTAAAGAATTGTATGGTGCTTTTGTATTCCTTCAATGCCATTCAGTGTACGTTCACAGAAAATACAGAGCAGTGCAGTCTTGTAATTGTGTGCAATTTTGTGTTCCATGGTTGAAACACACACAATAAAGGGAACAACATGAAGAGTGAGTAAATGATGACAGAACTTTACTTTGGTACAGAAATGAGGGAACAATTTCTCTTTTTCTGGATTTATTAGATATTGGTTTGAATAATAATAAAGAAATGTCGTTGTCTATTTCAAATAAAAACATTGTCAATTAGGACTTTGTGTCTTGATCACTAGCGATCTAGGCTTTGCACATTGCTGGAAAACATACATTATCACCTGGACACTATATTAACTACAAATCCCATTTATTGCTCCAATCACTCTTGCCACAGCCGACAGTCTCTCTCTCTCACGCATGCTTGCATGCACGCACGCACGCATGCACGCACGCACACACATACAGCTGGTAACTCATGATGGACTGAAAGCGAGGCTTGATGAAACACTGAAACAGTCGAAGCAAATGTGTTGAAGCTTCGAAACGTTTCAAAACCCGTCTCTACAGTGACAACTAGTGGAAATTTACCTATATTAACGCATAAATATGTCTTGTTTTAGTCATAAAGTGAGATTATTAAAATACATCAAGTCATAATTACAGAGTATTTGTACAAGTCGAAATTTACAGCACAGTTACTCTGTGCAAACAAACGGTCCACTAGACTATATGAGATTTATGAGAGGTTTATTTCCGACCCTGTCAGTCAAACGCAGATTCGCCAAGTCTCGAAACGATTCTAAAACAACCCATGCTTTGAATTGCTTTAGTCACAAGACCTGGTGTTTCGAAACACTTTAGTCATGTGACTTGGGTGTTTCAAATCACCTTAGTCATGTGACCTGGGTGGTTCAGATCATGCTTCGGTGAATTGTTTCGAAACACTTGCGCTTTTTTGACATTGTGTCAAATTGTCAGTTTCACGCCAGCCATCCCTAGTCTAGCCTTTATGTGCTTTGGACCCGTATTTTGTTTATTGTTTATCCTGTTTGCTGCCTGCACCGATCTCTTGTCTGCTTTTAACCACGCTCTTTGGATTGTCTATATGCTCCTGTTTGTACCCGTTTTGACGATTGCCTGACTGACCTCACTTAAATAAACTGCCCGTAGACCCTCAACTTCGTTGTCATTAGTGGTGGGCAAAGCAAGGCTTCATGAAACACTTAAACAAATGTGTTTCAGCAAAGTCTTAACAAATGTGTCGAAGCTTCGAAACATTTCGAAACCCCATTCCACAGTGACACCTAGTGGTCATTTTTTATGTATTGCTCTGGAACAGCTTTAGCAAAGAAACAGTTTAGCAAATTGAGGTATTAAACCCCACATTGTAGAGTTGCGCTTTCAAGTAATTTAGGGAAGCGGTGAGAGTTCCAGACTAGCATTCAGAGATAATGGGTTTGAATTTATGGTGGTGCTGCTATAGATGTTAGTTTTTAAATGCTCTGTTCTTGTAACGAACAACATTGGTCTGACATCTGAATGAACACTTTGGGAATAAATATGTCTTGTTTCAACTTAGCCATGTGACCTGGGTGTTTTGGATCATGCTTCGGTGGAGTTTCAAAACACTTGCGCTTCGAGATCTCGACATTGTGCCAAAACAACATTTTCTTATCAACCATTCCTACTGTTTTGACGATTGCCTGCCTGACTACTCTTTTAAATAAACTGCATGTGGACCTTCAACTCTGTTGTCACCCTGACCATTGTTACAGATTGTTTGTTTGCTTTTGCAGAAATGACAATTGGTCAGAATAGCAAATGTATTCCTTTGAAGTAATTGAAAATTATAGATATTCCATCAACTATTCATTGCATAACTCTTTTGAAATCAAAATTTTGGTATTGTTTAATTTTATTTGTTTTATTAATATACAGATAAAAACTAAATGGTTAATGTAAAAAAAGCTTAATATTAAAGAATTTAATTTTTTTATTCCAGAGAATTTTCAAGTGGCCTTCAAGGCTGTATGTTAAACTAAATCAAAACGACCTTGCATTCAAAGGCAAGCAGATGTTTTATCATCCCTAAGGAATTCTGAAGGTACTTCACACTGTACAGCCTCTGCATGCATTTTTATATGA